AAAACGTACTATGAGGATTACTGAAAAGGATACCAATAAATTTCGGGTGAAAATCCATGGCTTACACACACACACTGACGTTAACATATGTGTGCCTGTAGCAACAAATCCCCAAAGTATCCATCCATCCATCCATTCAACCATCCCATGACGGCTATGTTGATTAGCATCGGCACCTGGTGCTGGGATTATTACGACAATGCGTGTGTTTTGTTCATGGACTCGTGTTTGTTCGTTTGTTTGATTTAAGGCCGTATGGAAATCCACAGTAGAAGCCGCTGTTTATGTATTTGTTGTTGTTATTCTTGGTTGTAGGGTTGGTATTTGATAGAACGATTCAATCGTGTTTATTTTCGACTTTGTTTACGTAGTGTTTTGGTTCTCAAACATTAATTTCGATTATGGCTATGTTTTATTCCCTGTGTTTTCGTCTTCTCCTTCTGTTTTGGCTCCATTTGGTTCGGTTCGTTGTGGTAACATTAAATACACCTAATTGACTGGACCATTATAAATAAATCTGACATCAATCAATACGACCGTTATGTCAGTCTCGTTCTCTCTATACAATCTCTCACCGTACAATCTTATAAGGTGTGTGTGTGTCAGCATCTAACGATTGCGGTAAACTAGAGTTCAAGTGGCTCTTTCACATTTGTTGCCGGATTTTTTTTTACATTTTCCCCTAATGGGAACAAACACTTAGTGTTCTGTTTGACGATGTTAAATGTAAATTTAATAGACTTCTCCGACATACAAACAACGTTAGGCTAATAAAATATTTGTAGTTTAATGTTTCTTTGAAAACATTCACTTGATTACTGATAAAGAATCCCTTAAACAATAAACAATCATTAATTGGTGTGCTTCGTTGCGGTAGAAGTGGTTTCAAATGTAAATATTTGATGCTAATACCAGTATGAATTAAAAAGAAATGTATATAAGTTAAAAGAAATAGTCAATGTTGAAGCATTTAAAATAAACAAGTGAAAAAACTTTGGATACCCTCCACCATAGGTGCCCGAAAGGTACTTCAAATGAAAATACAGGGAATATAGGGTTGGGTGGAAACTGTTGGTTCAATATAAAAATTGTCATCGCAGAAAAAAATGTGTGCGTACGTCCCTGGAGGCTATACCTAAAGCAGGACCAATATTGATTACATCATGCATCAAATTAACGAAAAAATGGACCGAAACTTTTGGTACCTAATAAAAACTCAATGTGCTGAATTTCAGAGAATTCGGTTGAAAAACGCCCTCTAGTTGTCCATTTATGGACCGATATAATTTATCTTCGAACTTGACATACCTGCAGACAAAACACATCCATTTGCAAAATTTCAAAACCCTATCTCAATTCCTTCATGGACATGTCTACATTCTCTTAGAATTGTAAACTGATCTTGAATATGGAAATGAGTATTTTGATGAGGTACAAACTGAATGACAAAATTAATATACCCTCCATACTATGGTAGAGGGTATAGAAAGACCCAAACTTACACATCGCTGAGAAAATATTATTAAAAAGAATACTGTGGAAAACTTAAAAAATATATTCCTTCGAAAATTCCAGGCTGATAGCTCCATTCCCCATTCCATGTCCTTTTCCCTTAAATGTCCCTTAAAATGTCCTTTTTTCATACAGTTCTAAATACACTTGCAAAAATTTACATTATAAAAGCCTTTTTTTATACCCTCCACCATAGTATGGAGGGTATATTAATTTTGTTTTTCCGTTTGTAACTTATCGAAATAATCATTTCCGACCCTATAAATTATATATATTCTTGATCAGCGTAAAATTCCAAGACGGTAAAAGCATGTCCGTCTGTTGTAATCATTCTAGCGTCTAAACGAGTCGCTGAAATTTGGTATATTGAGTTGTTATTGGGTACCCAATTTCTCCACTAAAAATTATAAATATAGGTCCACTTTTTTTTGGTAGCACCCATATAACGGTACCCTCTAAATTCAGTATTTGGGGGGTTTTGATCGTAGTTTTCAACCGAATTGGCTGTAATTTAGTACTTGGAGTTCTTATTGGGTAGCAAATCTCTCCACTAAAAATTATAAATATAGGTCCACTTTTTCTGGTAGCCCCCATATAACGGTACCCTCTAAATTCAGTATTTTGGGGGTTTTGATTGTAGTTTTCAACCGAATTGGCTGTAATTTAGTACTTGGAGTTCTTATTAGGTGCCAAATATCTCCACCAAAACGAGTTGAGACAGATCGCCAAAATTTTGCATAGAGTCGTATTTTGTCTGCAGGCAGGTCAAGTTCGAAGATGGGATACATCGGTCCACTTTTAAGCATAGCTCTCATATAAAGGTATCCTCAAATTTTACGTATTTTTCTTCCTTGAGCGCGTTATTCAACCGAATTCGCTGAAATTTGGTATATTGAGTTGCTATTGGGTACCCAATTTCTCCACAAAAAATTATAAATGTAGGTCCACTTTTTCTGGTAGCCCCCATATAACGGTACCGTCTAATTTTCAGTATTTTGGGGGTTTTGATAGTAGTTTTCAACCGAATTGGCTGTAATTTAGTACTTTGAGTTCTTATTGGGTAGCAAATCTCTCCACTAAAAATTATAAATATATGTCCATTTTTCTGGTAGCCCCCATGTAAGGTGGGTACCCTTACATGGTAGCCCCCCATGTAAGGGTAGCCCCCATATAAGGGTCAACCGAATTCGCTGCAATTTGGTATATTGGTTCTTATTAGGTGCCAAATATCTCCATCAAAATTTATAAATATAAGTCCAATTTTTCTGGTAGCCCCCATATAAGGGTACCCCCAATTATCGCTATTTCGAGGTTATTGAGCACGTTTTTCAACCGAATTCGCTGAAAGTTGGTATTTTGTAGTCGTATATGGTAATAAATTTCCCTACAAAAAATGATTAATATGCACCCCCTTTTTGGGGTAGTCCCCATATAACTCACTTGTTTATATTAAAATAGTTATGTAATTTGTTCCGCGTTTTGGGTTTGGTTCTAAGACTCTGTTGTAATCATATCACCTGCGGAGGATATCGAAATAAAAAAACTAGAACGTAAGGTTCGATAATGAACTATATATGAACTATAACCCGTATTTAGACCTAGCCCCTCCGTGGGAGGTACCAGAAGGACCAGAAGTGGACCGATATTCCCCATCTTCGAACTTGAACTAAATAATAAGATGGCCAAAGTTTGGATGAAATCAAAATTTTTTGAAACAAATTTGGTCCAAAAAACATGGGGTCTAGAACCATCTTAACCATGTCATTATCCGTAAAGCTGAGGGCATAATTGTCCATTAAAAATTTCTAAAATTTGCTTTATAGTTTACGTTGTGGTTTACATAACCGGTTTGTGGAAATGTCGATATAGGTCCACTTTTTGGTATTTTCTCTATATTTTCATTTCAAGTAACTGTCAGTATGGACGGTATCGGCCCGACCGAACTTAACTTGTTATTTTGTAAAATAGTCTCCTACAAAAATCCACTTTGTCTCCGAAAGGCTATATAAAAACAAGTGTTTGTTAATTATTTCCATAATAAACATTTATTTCATTCATATTGTTATTATTTATAATATTATACTTTTTCTTTAGTACATTATTTACAATTAATCGGTAGGAACTTTTCTCTATACATAAACACATTAACAATATTGTTCCTTTGTGATAATTATTATATTCTATCGTGTTTTCTCTTAAAGAGACTAGATTACTTTTAAAAAAAAAAAAAAATTGCCAATAGTTTATTAAACGAAATGGAAGCATTTACAATTAAAATATTTTATATAACACATTGATAAAAAAAATAAATGAAGGAATCTATATTTTATTATATAATATATACTTAAAGTTGTTAGGGGCTGATTGAAATGTGCAAGAAATGATCAAACATTGTATTGTTAACACCGATACGTATTTTTTCAAGAATCTATAAAATATTTGATTTTTTTTGTCAAAGATGTAATAAGTGCTAAATGATATTGGATTATAATCATGACAGATGGGGGAAATATCGATTAAAGAACACATGTGTGTTTGAACCAAATCCGATATTTAACACAATTTGTTGTCGATTTAAAATGCAGCACCTATAGACAATCATACGCATGATAAATCGATGTAGGATGTAACCGTTTAGTTCCATATCTTGCAAGTAGATTTTTTTCCAAATTAAACAACCTCAGAAGCCTCAATGGACCACAAATTTATTTTTATCTGGTTTTCTGGGCGCTCTAGAGGCAACAATTATGACTTGAACCTCACGAAATGTACACGGACGAATAAACATCGTTGTTGTGATGACAAACTGTCAATATTGACTTTTGGGTGAAAAAAATAACATTTGAATATTATCCGGGAATACATGGTCCGGAAAAGTTGGAAATGTATTAAAGAGGGATGGTTGACCTTTGTAATATTCAAATATAATGTAAAAAATATCGTGAAATGTTGCCCCGGCATCGGATTTAGGTTTGCATATAATTAAAGTTCTTCCATAGTTACTGGGGTTTCAGATATAATGCAACGTATCTTCCAAGGGTGTGGCGTTATTAAATTTGTTTTGTAATCTGGAAAATGTTGTAGGGACAAGCAAAAAATCCAATCTCAAAGGGTTTATTTACATAAACTTGTTCTTAATTTATTACCAATTATTTTCAATTTATACAAAAATTATAATATATCAATTCTCTTCATTCATTTACATATTTTATTCGTGTTCATTAACTTAACAACTTAAAATTAAATTACACTTAAAAAAATATTTATAATAAATTAACGGGAAGCACAATGTTTTTTACAATTTGATTTGATTTGTTTTCTTCTTCTATTGTTTTGTTGTCATTGTAATATTAATAAACTACATCACAGATTTTTTTTTTTTAAATTAACAAAAAGTTGCCTTCTTCAACAAATAACATACAAAAAATAGTTACAAAAAATTTAACCACCACATTTTCTAAATAAATTGCTTTTGTTTGTTGTTTTTTTTTAATTTTTTCATTCTAAAGATCCAATCATCTATGAGGACAATAACTAAAATATGGAAATAATTTACAATGCAATGAATAGAAACGACGTGGATCGGTTTTGGTATCGAAACCATCCACTTTAACAACATTCCATTGATTTTTCATTAAAGCATAGCTGAAGGACACTTGATCCTGATAGGTGTCGGGTCGTATAAATTCCATGGGTTCCAAATGGGAATGGAAATTGTCGACAACTGTTAGGGGGACCTTGAGTAGATGTTCTGTGGAAGATGAAAATAAAAAAACGAAACATTTAAAAATTGAAAACATAAAATGTAATCACACACACACAAACTTACCTATAATAAAACCCATGGTAACATCATCAGGAAATCGTATTTTATCACCAATACTTATAAACTTGCCACCACCTGCTATCGGTAACATTTTCAATGTTAGGGCTCGACTCAAACAGAAACCAGCACCACCTGTTGCAAACCAGAATGTAATCTTTTTATTCAGTGTCGTGTTTTTCTGTAAGGACAAAGGAAGCAACATTTTATTATTAAAAAAATAATAAATAAATCTCAACATCATAGTAAGGAGCCTGAGAAGAGGAAAGCTAAGCAAAGGGAAGAAGAAACAAGAAAGTGTATTATGTATTAAATGTTGTACAGGGATTTAGTTGCCTTGCAGCATCAACTTGTTGTTGATTATCTTTCTTGGATTTTTATCTGCTCGTTTTATTATTAAGCATTTTATATGTTTAAACGGCAATCGCAATTAAAGACAATCTTTTCTTAATTCTGCAGTAATATTATACAATCTGTGCCCAGAATGTATAGCGAAAAAAATGAGTGTTTCGGCTAGGATGAAGTATTTATATCCGTAGTGGAAATTTATAATTTTGCCAAGAAGAGTGAAGTGATAATGTTACAATGTGATCTAAAATCGGAAAGGAAACGTTGACCTGACAACTTGACCGCCTTGTTCAGCCGAAGTTGAAGTTGTACAATACTTCCAAAGAATGTTCGTAGAATAAACAATTCCCAACAAATTTTCGCCTGTTTCATAGACAAAATCGATCAAGTGACGACTATTCCGCTTTAATTCGGACCCCAGTTACAGAGTAGACTTTTTTTCTTTTAGAAACAAAAAAACGGAACTCCGTTATTCAGTGGACGCTTATCTTTAGAATAAAATACGGACCCTACTGAGGAGACTTTTTTTATAGAAAAAAATCTGATTTCAGTACAGACATTTTTTATAGAAAAAATCAGACCTCAATAACTGAGGTCGGAATCTCCATGACAGAGAAAACCAGTATGGAAAGTAGTAAAGTCGGACGGGGCCGACTATATGATACCCTTCACCACTTTGGATATATTCAGCAGATGAATCCTAACAGACGTCGCCTTTTTAAAGAACCGATAATAAATTTTTCATTTGGTCAGATATAGAAGCTATATCTGAATCTGAACCGATATCCACGAAACTTAACACACATCATTCTAGATCTAATTCATTACGCTGTGCCAAATTTCGTGCAAATCGAAACATATATAGGGACTTTGGTGCACTATTTACATTTAATAGGGCGAAAATATATATGGAGGCTGTATCCAAATCTTAAGCAATTTTCAGGAAACTTAACACATATCATTCTAAACCTAATTCATTACGCTGTGCCAAATCAAAAGATTTAAAGGGTCATTCGTAGACTATTTACCTAAAATCGGGCGAAGCTATATATGGGAGCTATACCTAAATCTGAACCGATTTTCACGGAACTTCGCACACATATTTCTAAGCTTAATTTAGTACGCTGTGCCAATTTTCGTGCAAATCGAAAGATATATAGGGAATTTGGTGGACGATTTACATAAAATAGGACGAAAATATATATATGGGAGCTATATCTAAATCTGAACCTATTTTCACGAAACTTCGCTCACATCATTCTAAGCTTAATTTAGTACGCTGTGCCAATTTTCGTGCAAATCGAAAGATATATAGGGACTTTGGTGGACCATTTACATTAAATCGGGCGAAGCTATATATGGAAGCTATATCTAAATCTGAACCGACTTTTCCTAATTTCAATAGGGTTCGTCCTTGGGCCAAATAAGTGACATGTGCCAAATTTCATCTAAATCGGATCATAAATGCGACCTGTACTTTGTTCACAAAAATACATGAATGGACGGACGGCCATGCGTAAATCGACTCAGAAAGTCATTCTATGCATATTGTCAAAAGGAACCATGGGTCTCTCTCGATTATTTTTGCCTGTTACAAACATATGCACAAAGACGTAATACCCTGTACCACAGTGTTGTGAAGGGTATAAAAATATCCGATCTCAAGACCTTAGATTTAAGGATTTTTCCAAGGAAATTCCCTTAAAAACAGTAGATCCTATTTTCCTTTGTTTTTGCAAAATAGTCAGGCTGATTCCCCCTTTTTTTAATAAAAAAAACAACTATTTATTAGTGGGGAATGTATGGCATTGTTTGCCGATGGCTAAGGCGTGGATCGCGTCACGGATCCTCATCAGTTCCCTTAGTTTTTTGTTGGGATATTCCGTCTCTTGTAACAAAGCGACGTACTTAGCTGACCAACGACATAAACTGCATGAGAATTTCGCTGGAGCCTCACTTCGAGGTTAACAAGGCAATACCACACCTTTCCCACTCATGTGTGTTGTCACATCGCGACAAATGCACACAACGACTTTTCCCATTCTATTTTCCACTATAAAATACGACCTCAGTGATAGAAGATTTCTTTCCATAGAAAAAATCCGACCTCAAAGCCTGAGATTTCAGGATTTTCCCCCCAATAAATTTCCCTAAAAACAGTAGAACCCTTCTCCCCTACTTTCCACTATATCTCCAACGTTGTCTCTACCCCCTCAGTTCACCTCTCTTGAATCAAATGTGATTTAAGATTCTATGGAATCATCCCGTAAGCAACATGCACGTGCTCCGATGGCAGTAAAAAAAAAAAACAACAACAAATAAAAACTATCCAAAGGTTCATTCTAATATATCGGACCATTGCTTTCCTCCAGCACTGTGGCCATATCCAACTCTTTCACTAATAAAATTATGACTTCCCAGGCTGATTATAGGCTTCCTATATGCCTGTGTTATACCTGATAGGTGTTTTCGATTAGATTTTCCGATACCAATGTGGTTCGTTATAACCGATATGTCGTTCTAAAAAATGTCCTTATAATTAATTTCGACTGACCTGATTTATTTATTTTTTAAATGATGGCATGTGGTTTGACGTTATGTCTTCTGTATAGTGAAGAGAAGGGTGTTTGGAACAACAACAAACTCCCTGCCTAACTGTTGTTGTATAACAAAAAAACAGCCTTCAGCCAATTTAAATGTCCACTTAACCAATCAAGGTAAACTGTACTTTAATACATCACCACTTCCTTTCAACAATTTTTCCAATAAACAATAACTTCTAAAGTTACCAGGGCAGTGTTCGGTACATATTATACAGCCAACAAAATTTTGTAAAATAAATTAACCATGAAATATGTTGTGTACAAAAAATGTATGTATATTAAACGGGGTTTTATGTTGATTTAATATATATGCGTATAATTAACATTGAGAGAGATACAAAAGCAAAGGGTAATAATAACAGTAAAAATATATTTCATTATACTCACACTATCCAAATGGATTTCCAATGGTGATGATATACTCGGCTTGCCCAAATACCAATCAACAGTGGGACTGTATTCATCTAACAGCTTTACCAACCGAGGAATATTTACATAGTTGTCGTCATCGAAGTGGCAGAACCATCTGAAAAACGAAAAAGGTGGGAGAGATAATGTTATTAAAGACTATATTTTAAAAAAGTAAAAAAAAACTTGTCAGTATTATTATTGTGTATATATACTCACTTACCCACCCTAATACCCTATAGCTCCCCACACAATTGGGTTTGCATACCCAAAAAATATATACTGTATGTGGTTAGGTAAGTTAGTGTTTGTCCTGTTTTATGCTTGATTTAGTCTTCATTGCCTTGCATCATTCGTTTTTTTTCTTTTATATTCTTCTCGTTTCTTTTTTTAACTGTCAAATCCTTTCAATTTCTTCCTTTTTTATGGATATTCGATATTTTTTTCTTACACAAGTGGATTCTGAGTATCTTTTGAAGATACATCTTCATGTTTCAGTTGTTCCAAAGGGAAAAGCTTAACAATTTATGTTTTCTTAAGAGCATCCTTAATTTGATTTTTTTAAAGATATTAAGTGAATGTGGTGAAATGTGAGATGGTATACCCAAAACAAAAATACAAGGGATACTGATTTTATGTCATGGTGTTGTCGTTGTGAAAGGAGTCTGTGTTCATCGTCCATAAGAAGAAAATATTATATTGCAAATTGAGATATTTCGAAAGGATTTATAGATGGATGCAAAATCAAAAAACAAAAAAAAAAAAAAACAACACTTTGCATTGACATGAATAAATTATGATTATGTTTTTACACTATAAAATGGGGTTTGTACACTACAAAATGAGTATATTTATTTTATTCGCCCATATTTTCATACTACCTCATCATAAAAGTTTAAAACCATTTTAAGCTTCTTCTCAGATGGAATATCATTCCTAAAAATATTCGTCCAAACGTTCGAATAGCCCCCATGGTACTTCATAATATTCCAGGCTTTGGGGGTTTGAAATGAATCCACTTTGAACAATACTACGCCGAATGAAAATTTTAACCAAATCCTCCGATGTTATAAAAAGAATGTTTCGGATATTTATATGGGGGATATTAAACTCAAGTGAATCTATGCTCAAAACACAATGATATCATAGAAACTACTGGGGACCAGAAATATTAAATTGCAGACAATTTTGCTGCCAACTTTCAAAAAAAGTCCACCTGTCCTCGGTTACTGAAGAGACTTTTTTTAATAGAAAAAATCTGACCTCAGTTACTGAGGGGACATTTTTCTATAGAAAAAAATGTTCTCTGCCACTGAGGAGAAAATTCGAACCTCAGTAACTGAGATCGGATAGAGGTCTATAGAGGGTATTTTATCTATAGGAAAAACCAGTGAGCGGAGCAGTATAGTCGAACGGGGCCGACCATACGATACCCTACACAACTGCCACGCAACTCAAATTTTCTGCGGATGTTTATTCCGAGCATGGGCAATATTTCGTGATGTTGGCAACCTCTTGCCCGATTAGAGGTAAACAGCACCTCTTCCTCACACTGACATATTTTCCGAATATTACGAGTATTCAGTACAGCTATTGTCCTGATTCCCTTCACCGTGGGTTGTGTTGTGATGTTCGGCTTTCATTTGTGGTCTATATATCGACTTGAAAATAACACAAAAAATTAAGTTTTCGGTCTACTTCACTCCAAAATTATTATCTGATCATCACCGAAAATTATGGGCGTTCTCCTTTACCATAACTGGAACCTTATGGAACATTTCAAAGCGATCAGCGCTATAGTTCCGCGCTCTAGAGTAATAATGGGTTACTAAATAATATACGGATGCGGAGATACCTGTTAATATTTAGGTGTAACTCCCACATTCGAGCACATACAACAATATAATTGGTATTAATTTAAAGGTCAATCACTCCTCTTGGATATAATATCAACTTCTCGGGTCTATGTCATTCAGGGGTAAATATATACGCTATAGAATACAAATTTTGTCATTTTTCACACAAAAGTCAGGGTCCATTTGACCCGCTAAATATTGACCAATCTTTATCAAAACAGGCATGCTTATTCTTTGGCCCGATCCCCTTCTCCATGCAAAAATTCACGATGTTCGGGCCATTATTGCGGCCTCTGGAGCGACCAGAAAACCCGACAAATATTAACCGATCTTTCCCAAAAACAATAGGGGTCTTCATTGGCCAGAACCCATCCTACATGCAAAATTTCGTGAAGATTGGTCCATAACTGTGGCCTGTATCGTGTTTACAAATTATAATGGACAGACAGACGGACGGACGGACACACATGTCTAGATCGACTCAGCTAGTCGAGATATGACGATCGGTACACTTAAAGGTGGGTCTAGGACCAATATTTCGCGGCGTTACAAACTTTTGGGGCTGCACAAAGCTATAATACCCTGACAACATAGTTGTGTAGGGTATAAATATATTGAAAAATTCAAATGAAACCAATTCAGTAGAAAGTTTTTTTTTCCAAAATATTACCCGCAAATGTAAATGACACTTGTGCGATATTTCCAACATTGAAAATATGTTTCAACTAACAACTAAATTTTAAATGTTCAACACCAAATTTCAAACATGTTTTTTTTATTTCGTTTTTTTTTTCATAGAATTTAGAGTGAAATTCATAAAAAGCGTTGTATTTTGTTTTTGGTTCCTTATGTTTATGGCATATAACCCAAATGTTATATTTGTGTGTTATAAACGTTCACAAAGGGAACATGGGTATGTACGTATGCATGTATGTACCAAAGAACACGACGAACAACTTTTGTGTACAACACTTGTTTTAGATGGGCGACAATGTTGCCCATTTAAAAACACAAAAAAAAGAACAAACAACAAAAACAAAAATTATATATAAAACAACTTCCATTAAAATGTATATGTTTTATATGATGTTGTAAGCGCAAATGTCATTAAAAATACGAATGAAGGAAAATATGAACAACATCATATTATTTGTGTGTATATGTCTGTGTGCTTTTATTTCTTAAAGAAACATAAGGTGACCATACACACACACACACAAATGAGTTGCTGCTAAATTTTATCCGGTTGCCCTAGAAATTCAAATTGTACGAAGGTCAGTAACTAGTTGTCCCAGTTGTCAAGGAAATTTTTATACTCAAAAATTTTAAAGGGTGTTTTTGTGAAGAGTGATATTTAATGAAGGGGCATAATATGTTCTTAATATTTTATAGTTTCATGAAATAAAAAAAATATTTAATAATACTTCCACAGTTAGTTCCTATATCAAACCATTTTCAATACCATTCAACCTAAGAGTAGTAGCAATGTATGTCCGCCAAAAAGTTTTAATCTCTATCTGCAATATGGGGAAACCTCTTATGACTACCCGTTTAACGAGGAAACTTTTGCGCACGTCTTTTTAAAGAATAATGTCAAAAATTCTGTTTCTGTGATGAGAGATAAATAAGTATTGGTCATTGTATGACGTGATTTTGTTATATTTTTACAAAGTATTACAAATAAGTTTTAGGTTGGGGAAAAATAAATCCATTATTACATTTTTTGTAAATTGTTTAAAACAGTCATGGTCGATTTTTAGCTCCTGGGCGATGTTACAGATGCTAACATGCCGGTCAACTTCGATAATTTCTCCGATTTTATCGACATTTTCGACGACCGGCCTACCATTTCGAGGTGCATCTTTAACATCAAAAATTCGTGAACGGAATCAATGAAACCAAAATTGCACATAATTGGCTGTTACAGTATCGGAACCATAAACACCATTTACAATTTTAGCCGCATGTCTTGCATTTTCCCCATTGTCAAAGAAAAACTGTAAAATGTACCGAATTTTCTCTTTGTTCGCTTCCAAACAAAAAAACAGCAAAATATGTTTTTACTGTGAAATGTCACCCTTCCAACGAGCATAAATCTGAAGTTGTTTGATCAATACTTTACGAGAAATCTATCAGTACAGCCATCTGTCGAAAAAATGATGGATTTCTTTTTCCCAACCGAATATTATGGGCCCACATTTATAAATAGTCTCCATATTAGTTTGGTACATGTGGAGGGTAGAACAGTACCACTATACAAATTTTCAATAAAGTCCTGATTTTGGCATATAAGTCATATAATTTCCTTCCGATCTTTTAGGCAAAAAGTTTTTAAAGAAGGTCAAGGTTTTTACATAGTTCTCATATACATGCCGGTAACTTTTCATCTACATCGAAGTAGATCTATGCTTCAATGAAGCCCCCATATATGTAGGCCACTCCCATGGGCATTTTCTAAATGAAGTGGCTCTGAAGTGACCTTCCAACATTTTGGTGGGTAAAAACATTTTCGCAGAACATTTGAAATATAGGCAACATTTTGACATTGCCTTCATATAAATGTACTAGGAATTTCCAATGCCTGCGGAGTATTTTCTATCCGATATGTGAAAAATGTTTTAAGGGGACCCCCCATTCTCGGGGTCAAAATTTTTGTTGACTTAATTCCAATCTACACTAATTCAAGAATGTCCCTATAAATTTGCATACGAAAATCTCAACAATTTTCGAAGATATAGCCGATTTATTGTGTTAGCATCAAGTGAAAGCAAGAGGGCTTCTCAAACATTAAACGCGTTTTTCTCTAAACATCGTTTTTGCGAATGCGGGCACGACAACACTAAAACTATTAACCCAATCAATTTCATTTTGGGACGTTTCTCTGTGAGTGTGTAGCTATCGTATGAACTATGATAAAGCCAATCGGTGAAGATCTTCCTTATTTTTTAACTTGATTTTTAGTCAAAAAATCGGCAATTTTCCAAAAATATTTTTTTAAAGGTCCGCCATTTTGTTAATTTTTGTGCGAAGTCAAAGTTTATATGGCAATTTTCCAACCTAAGTGTCTGCTATTTTCCCAAAAAATAAAAAATCTCCCGTTGGACAACCCAGATATATTTTACGGATGTCGAATGCGTGGACCTGGTGTAGGAGAGTACAAGTTCGTCCTATCCGAAATTAATTTTGTTGTTCCTTGTGTAATGTGGGTAGTATCTAGTTGTTTTGCCCTTCAATATCACGGAATGTCACGTTGTAGCTCCTACAATGAGAATATACCGCTATAATCTTCAACATATTGACAAAGGGTGCTACCCTTTTATAGGAGCTATGTCATACCATGAACTTATATTTATTAAGGATCCAGCTTTCATGAGCCCTTAATACCCAATTATACGAAATACATCTAAGGTCTTCAAAATGCCGTAAATTGGGTGATATCGTTATATGGGAGCCATACCAAAACTAAACTTATATTAACAATTGTTGGTAGGAAGATTTAACACCCTATGAAAACCTTAATAATCAACTCAGAACCAATTCAGGTGAAAATCTTGTCCAAACTCCCTAAAATATCTAATAATGGAATTTACAATTTAATTGGGGCTACCTGGGCAATATTGATCGGTTTTTTGTAAAGCGATTTTCTGCTTAATGAGAATGCCAGTTGAAAGAGTAGTCAGCAGAGATTTCCCCATACTGAAGGCAGAGATTAGGTTGGCATTGAAAAGGGATAGATGTTTTCTTATATCCCGCTCTATATTAGATATTTTGTTAAAGTGGCTATAATTGGACCTTCGGGTTCTTTGGGAGCAATACACGTCTTTGCACGGTATTTTCAATATTGGTCCGTGTTTTAAAATAGCTACCATGTAAAGGTCACCTGCACATTAGGTATCGTTGCTTCTTTTTCGAACTGAATAGGATGTAATAATTGTCTATCCGCGTACTTTGGTTTGAAAGTCTTTTAAGTCCATTTTAGGTTCTAACCCAAATATACAAAATATATTGCGCTACGCCAAAAACTAAATTAATACCATTTAAAAATACAAACCTGTAAATATATGAATGTGAGTAAAAATGGAATTAAGCCACTTGCAAAATAAACCACTCATATACTGGTCCCGCTTTTTTAGATTTTTTATGGTTCTGGCCACAAATTCCAATTGTTGGCTATACGTTGAGACCATGCTTTTCAGATAATTTAAAGGCAATCTTAAATTATACGATTTTGTCGTATTCAGGTTAGTTTTCGAAACGAATGGGTAACTTTTCAAGTTTTACTCATGTTGGAGGTAATAACAATAAAAAAATCCCACATTGAACCTTATTTACAGAAATTATATGTAACCTCTTAAGGACTGTGCATCAAATTTAAACATTATGCCGTAAAAATTTCACATTTGTTTTGCAAACAATTTTGAAAATTCTATCATGTCAATAACATTTCCTAAATTTATTATTTTTTTCACAATAAACATACACGTATTGTTAAATTGTACTTACTTTTTACCGCTTTCCAGGAAAACATCTAATTCTGCGGACATTTTGCAACACAAAGCTTTACGGAAATGACCCTGGGAACATTTTGTGTTTATTAAATGGCCATCTGAAAAAAAAACAAACAAGTAGACGTTAAAGATCATATTTGTGTATTAAATATATTTCAAGAAATAATTACACAATAAAAAAACGAAAAACATTTAAATGTTCATTAAAATTCTTTAATATCCCATCTAATTTTTAACTAATTGTAAGAAATGAAAAAGTAAATGAAAAATAAGAGAGCCAACAAAAAATGATAATTGTTACTTTGTGAGTGATTACGTTGATCAGTTTTTATTTGTCGGTCGGTCGGTCTATCTGACCTTCCGCATTTTTTTCTTTTGTCCATTCCACACATATTTTTTCTTCTTCGTCGTAACAAAAAGTGTGTTTTTTAACCACAAAGCTGCTCCCTAATGAGACAAAAATTATTGAAATATTTCAAATTGTTTTTTATCGCTTTATCAACTTTAAAAGCGTTGCTGGCGAAGACACCAACAAACAAAAAATAAAAACTTAAGGAGTACCCCTCAATCACTTGATAAATCCCCAAATGTAGCCATCCATTTGCTGGCCGCCACACAATACTAATAATAATAATAAGGGCTACCTAAACATACAAACAACAACAACAGTATAAATTGCTTTTAAGAAGATGAAAGGACAGACAGACATACATACGAACGAATGGATGGATGGATGAACATTGTTGTGAACAAACGTTGGGATAGCCGGCCAAAGCCCACAGACAAAAAACGAGATAAAGATAAAGTGGAAGAAAAAAAGAGTTTTTTTTCGCTTTTAACGGTTTTGGAATTTGGTCCTAATCAAAATTCCAGTAGTCATGTTATGTGTTCGATGATGCTTCTAAAGAATGCGACAAATGGATGATATTTGGGAGTGTGTGTGTGAATGATTTTTTAATATCTTAACAGCGACATACATATGTGTATGCGTGTATGCTAGTTACTTTGTTCTGAATGTGCCTGTTTTTTTGTAGAGCGTACAATTATAGATTGTTTATGAGCATACCGGTGCTATCTCTCAGTTGAAAGAAAAATTATTGTCGAGACTGAGACATTCATCACAAGATAAATGATATCCCCTCGTTGGAGAATACTTAAAATTATTGATGGAGAGTATTTGATGGTCCTACACGCTAGGTGAGAGGGTATATTAATTTTGTCATTCCATACTTAATACTTCAATATTCCACTCACAAGGGTTAAGGATTAGAATTAACAAGTAAAAACGTCATTAAGCCCGACCATGTCATACTTTTTATACACTCCAAAAACCAGGAGTGTACTCAAAATTCCTTAAATCGGTAGATACATTTATATGGGAACTATGTTCTCGTTGTTCTCGTATGCGGTAGTAGGTAGTTAATGCTCTAAAGAAAATAATTTACAATTACGGACACTAAGGATTGGGTGTAACTTCAAAATATGGAGGTGGGGTTGGTTTTTCTCCAAGAATCCGATATGAGAAATTATAGTCACTATGATGAGAAAATTCGGTTTAAAACTTACTGTATAAAAACTCGAACCTAAAATACGGTTTGCCGCCCAATATCATTGAATGCCACATTGCAACCACTATAATGGAAATATGTCGCTAAAATCTTCCACATACTGACAACAGGTGCTTTCCTTATATGGGAGCAATCTCCAAACATGAACCTATATTGAACCCTTTATACCTAATTACAGCCATTTCGGCGGAGAAATACAGTCAAAGCATTCATGTCAAAATATAAACCCATATTAAGTGTTCAGCATCTATGAGCCTTTTATACCCAATTACACCCACATCGCTAAAATCTTCCAAATACTGACAAAGGGTGCTTCCCTCATGTGGGAGCAATCTCCAAACATGAACCTATATTGAACCCTTTATACCCAATTACAGCCATTTCGGCGGAAAAATACAGCCATAGCCTTCATATCAAAATATGAACCCATATTAAGTGTTCAGCATCTATGAGCCTTTTATACCCAATTACACCCACATCGCTGGAAAAATGCAGCCAATGCATTTAAAATACCGTAAATGGGGTGGTACCATTGTATGGGAGCCATATCAAAACTAAATTTAAAAATTGTTGGTAGCAAGAAAACCTTAAAAATCCAATTAAAACCAATTTTGTTGAAAAACGTGACCAAGCCCCAGAATACCGAAAATTGGTATACCATTGTATGGGGGGCTATGCGGAATCTTGGGCCAATATTTAGTAGGGATATTTTCTACTCAATGAGAATCCTAAATATATAATTATAGCTAATTTATTTCAAACACGAGCTTATACTTCGAAACGCTCCGAAATTTGGGATATGGCTTTATATTTGGAAAAATCCTAAACAAAATACCAAATTACATCGGATTTGTTCGAAAAACCTGCCCAAAATGTAAAATACTGAAAATCTGTGGGAAATATGGGAGATACCCTATATTGGTCATTTTTGGGAGGAACATTTTCTACCCAATGAAAACTCAAAATATCAAAGAAATATCAATTCCTTTGAAAAACGTGCCCAAAAGTTTCAAAATACCGAATATTGAGAGGTTATTTTATATGAGGGCTGCAAAATAAGGATTTATATTGCAAACTTCAGCATAGCTGTTTATTCAACTGCTACGAACAGGGAATGTAAAGCCTACACTGTTTGGACAAGTTTCCAAAAACTTCAAAATGGTGGAGTATCTTCATATTAGGGCTATAGCTAAATGTGGACCGATATATCCCATTTGCATTTACCACACCTCCTAGGAGTGGCAACAATATTTGTGTAACAATTGGAAACTCTGTCTAAAATATTGCGCTCAATATCGTGATTCGAGCAGACGGGTATTTCGAAATCGCATAGTATTTTATTGTGATTGAAAATGGGCTCTCCGACAAATATAGTGCGGTTTTGCGTTGACCCATTTTTTATATACACTTCAACATACTACAAATTATTCATACCACAAATATTTAATTAGAAACATATTTAAATATTAATTTTCCACTTAAAAAAGGAATCCGTTTAATTACCAATAAATTGAACAATTTAAAATAACAAAAAAATATGTTTTTTTAATATTCATAATATACATTACCCCGGGCTATGTGGCAGATATGAATACATTCCACCAACCTAACAACAGCAACAAAAAATTAGTTCACAATTTTCTAATTAAAAAACTAATTTAATTTTTTCCCTTTATCGGCCAAAAAAAAGTAAACCCTTTTTCAGTGATATCGAAAAAAACAGCAGAAAAAAACTTTAAACTCAAAACTCATTTTGCAATTCAATTAAAAATGCGGGCGAAACGTTATTCAGCAGATTATTATTGTTCAGGTATTCATCCTGACGGGCAACAGAAACACCAAAACCCAATCATCTACTGGAGCAAGAATGTCTAAAAAGACAACAGAATATAATACAACAGCTACCCTGTTCTGCACCGCGCCGCACCGCCCTTTTCTCTCCTAAATCCGCATTGTAGTTGCGTGCCTTGCGATGAGTTTACGTAGCGATGAAGAGGATCGTGTTTTTATAATAACTACTATTTTTTGCACCTCTCCGTGTTCGTCGATTATTAATGGATATGGGCGAAGAGATAACCTAAAGCATGATGATGACGATGCTGCTGGTGAAAAAAATATAAACCAAACTAAATGAAGTGAAAACATTATAGAGAGTGAATCTGAATGGCGCATCCCTAAAGAATTGCAAAAAAAAGACAAAAAAGTTTGTGTGAATATTTTAAATGGGGATTTGAAATGGTATGTTTTAACGGTAGCAGTATTGACGATTAGCTAGTAGAATCCAGAAGAGATTTTTTAAGACTGAAAATTACTGTAAGGAAATTCTCTACTTCTTCTAAAATTTGTGTAGCAGTTATCCAGAGGAATCTTCTATAACAAGATATTCCATTGCCCTTGAAGTTTATATCCCGTAAATATTGTTAAATTAGAGGTACTCCATAAACATTTCATATACATTGATAAATAAAATAGTTTTATGTGACGATTCGATAATAAACCAGTAATAAAAATAGTAAAGTCGGACGGGGCCGATTATATAATACCCTTCACCACTTTGGGTATATTCAACAGATGAATCCTAAAAGACGTCGCATTTTTAAAGGACCAGTAAAATGAAATTCGATCCATAAACATGTCATTCTGCAACGTATACAAAATTTTACATTTTCAATGATTTCAGGAAACTTAACACACATCATTCTAGACCTAATTCATTACGCTGTGCTAAATTTCGTGCAAACTGAAATATATTAAGGGACTTTGGTACACCATTTACCTTAAGTCGGACGAAAATATACATGGGAGCTAAATCTAAATCTGAACCGATTCTCACGAAACTTTACACACATCATTCTTGACCTTATTCATTACGCTGTGCCAAATTTCGTGCACATCGATGGGACTTTGGCGAAGCATTTATATTAAATCGGACGAAAATATATATGGGAGCTATATCTAAATCTGAACCGATTTTCCAGAAACTTAAAACACATCATTCTGGACCTAATTTATTACGCCGTGCCAAATTTTGTACAAATTGAAAGATATATAGGGACTTTGGTGAACCATTTACTTAAAGTATGACGAAACTATATATGGCAGCTATATCTAAATCTGAATCGATTTTCAGGAAACTTAACACACATCATTATATTTCTAATTCATTACGCTGTGCAAATTTCGTGCAAATCGATAGATATATAGGGACTTTGGTGCAGCATTTACATTAAATCGGACGAAAATATATATGGGAGCTATATAGAAATCTGAACCGATTTTCACGAAACTTAACACAAATCTTTCTGGACCTAATTCATTAAATTTCGTGCAAATCGAAATATATATATAGGGACTTTGGTGGACCACTTACATAAAATTGGACGAAAATATATATGGGAGCTATATCTAAATCTGGACCGATTTTCAGGAAACTTAACACATATCACTCTAGACCTAATTCATTACGCTGTGCCAAATTTCGTGCAAATCGAAAGATATATAGGGACTTTGGTGGACCACTTACATAAAATTGGACGAAAATATATATGGAGCTATAGTTAAATCTGAATCGATTTTTCCCAATTTCAATAGGGTTTGTCCTTGGGCCAAATAAGTGACCTATGCCAAATTTCATCTAAATCGGATCATAAATGCGACCTGTACTTTGTTCAAAAAAATGCATGGACGGACGGACGGACAGATCAACATGCGTAAATCGACTCAGAAAGTTATTCTATGCATATTCTCAAAAGGAACCATGTGTCTATCTCGTTTCCTTTTGCCTGTTACAAACAAAGACATAATACCCTGTACCACAGTGTAGTGAAGGGTATTAAAACCTCATCGAAATTCGTCAAATTAGAGCCTTGTTTTTGTATAGCTCCCATATAAAGAAACAATTAATGTTAGGTATTCGGTATGCCCACCTCATGGTGAAGGGCATTCAAAAGATAAGGTGGAGTATAAATTAAATTTGCCACATTTACCTTATATTTACTTCACTGATTTATATTAGGGGAATATTTTCAGTTTTTATTAAAAATTTACCGTTTTCATAATTTATAGATAATTATTATTATTTTTTTTTTAATTTTTAATATTTTTTATAACATCTTCGCTCAGCACTCAACGCAGCCACAATAAACTGACGCCTGCACTACCACATTTTCCCCAGTATTGAGTTCTTTAAAATCATCAACCTTATCATATTCATCAAGTGGCTGGGGCTCAGTTGTATTAATACAACATCAACAGTGGCCACAATGAGGCGGTCAAGTAGGCGGAGCAGTTTGATGTGAAGCTAAATTGGAATTCTTTTTTTTTTTGCTTCAGAAGATGTAAGGAATGAGTTCCTCTCTCACACACACACAAAATGGAGTTCAACAAATAAGGCTACAACATAAAATATTACCAACTTTTAGAAAGCAATTAACGTCTTTTGATGAAATTTGTTCAAGCAAAGAAGCAAAAGTCGAGGGCAAGCAAAACCGAAATGAAAATCGAAAACTAAATTATAAACAAAACATTGCTGGCAAAAAAAAATCATCACTGATTTCTTGGTCTGGGTCCTAAATAACACCAGGAAAACATTATCAAAGGCAATCCTTTCGACTGCAAAAAAAGTTTTATTTTTTGAAGAGTCATATAAATGGCTTGCTTGAAGGTGGGGGTGAAGTAATACAAAAAAAAAAAAATACTCTCCGACTGAAGAACAATCAACGGCAGCCACAGCTGCCAAAAACGTTTTTTGATCTTCAAGTTTTGTTTGATTCTCTTCGTTAAGTTTTTTTTTTTTTGCTGCTAAACACTTAAGCCCAGACGCACGCAATATTTTTCTTGGCGGATTTGTTTTTTTTTTCTTTTTTTATGATTTGTTGATGGGTTTGTTTTCAGCATGATTTGGAATTTTTCCATAAAATCCACGTTTCCATTCCACACACAGAAACGTTTCAAATGAATACCAATTTAAATTTTAAGATGGATTTTTGTTCGTTTTAACGTTTATAGCCAAACAATACGGAATTTGTGTATTCAACAGGATATTGAAATTTTATGAAGATTTACACACTATTTTAATGGGATTTCAAACAGTTCCAGACACTACATAATATGGGTAGGATGGACATTTTTGTATTGAAAACTAGTTCATTCGGATGAATTGCCAAAGGTAATTCTAGAAAAGTAATAAATTAAACAGTATAACCGAATGGAGCCTACCACTTGATACCCTAAACATCCACCCAAGAACTTCTGCGTAGCTTATTCTCGAGCTGGGGCAAAATTTTGCGATACAAAATCGGATCTTTGCAAGGCCTACTTTTAGGCGTGGATTTTTTAAATGATCTTCCTAAGGCATACTTCTAGGCGTGGATTTAAACATATTTTTAAGGCCTACTTCCAGGCGAGGACTTTTGAAAACATATTTTTCTAAGGCCTAACAGAAGGCTTGGATTTTTTTAGAAATACTTTTCTAAGGCCTTACAAACTATACTGGAGTATATCCCTTTTTTAAAATAGGTTTTTAAATATTGTTGAATCTCAATAAACTTTTCTTTCCTGTTGTGAACTGCAATCTCATTTTCTTCCCCCAGTTTCTATAGAAAAACTATGTTGAAAGCAACCAGCTTTCCCTTTGAATATGTCCGTCCGTGTGTCTGTCCATGTTAGATTGTAAACAAAGTACACGTCGCATTTATGATACGAATTGGATAAAATTTGGCTCAGTTCATTTGTTTGACCCAAGGACGAACCGTATTGAAATTGGGAATAATCGGTTCAGATTTAGATATAGCTCCCATATATATGTTCGTCCGATTTAAGGTAAATGGTTCACCAAAGTCCCTATAATCCTTCAATTTCCACGAAATTTGGCATAGCGTACTAAATTGAGTCTAGAATCATTAAAATCGGTTCAGATTTCGATATAGCTCCCATATATATATATATATATATATATATTCGTCTGATTTTATGTAAATGGTGCCCCATTTAAACGATAATCATCAGTATTGGCATGCGCCTTTCTCTTCCCTGATAAAAATTGACGTTCGAGTCATATTTTTGTGGATAAATAAAATTTTTGCCTCATTAAATCTCCGCTGGTTCTTAGGTAAGAACCAGACCGGCAGCAATATTTCCTGACCATCGCTTTATAACTACGGTGGATACACATAGTGATCGTAGAAAGAATTTTGTGTGGTGTTACAAATTTTGTGGTTAGACAAATGTTAACTGAAAAGGTGGTGAAGTAAGGTGGGAATTTAGTATACCTTAAATCGATCGGGATCTTTATATCAAAGATAGAATAATATAAACCAATGAGGATTATTATTCTCTATTGAAAATAAAGTATTAAATTGGAAGCAGAAACATTCTAGTTTGGAAACTTTGGCAAGGTCCTTTAACATACCGAATCGGAAACACAATATTTATATGAGATTTATATCAAAACATGAAACTATATCGAAAATATTCTCCGAGGAAGTCATGTATCCCCCACAAACTATGGGTAATATTACATATTTTCCGCATAGGTGTGTTCCACCGTCTATTTAACCGGAATGCGGATAATGCCTTTAAATGTCGAAACTGGGAAATGACGGTTATACCAAGGCTATACCAAAACGTGAACCTATTTTGAAAATGTTCGACAAAAAAGTTGTATATTCTGCAAAAACCCTACACCACTTCGGTTACTTAACATAAAGTTATATTTTGTCTGCAGGCAGGTGTAGTTCGAAAATGGGTTAAATCGGTCCACGTTTAGTCAACGTCTTCATACAAAGTTAACCAAAATTTCCAAAGGAATTACCTCTTATTTGGTAACTAGGATTCTTATTAGGCCCCCGTTTATGTATAGCCCCCTTATAGCGGCACTTTCGGTATTTTGGAGGTTTTGAGTGAGTTTTGTCAACCGAATTACATGTAAATTAGTACTTCATGTTTTAATTAGATACCAAATTGCTCCACTAAAAATTAAAAATATCGCTACACATGAAGACACTTCCAAAATTTCGGTATTTTGGGTCAGTTTTTCAATTGCAATGTGTGTAATTTTGGTATTTTGAATTCTCATTTTCTACGAAAAATTATCAAAATCTGTACACTTTTTGGGGTAGCCCCTGAAATATAAGAATTTGCCTAAGTTACAGTTGAGAATTTTAGACACATGTTCCAATATGCATATTGGTCCACATTAAAATTATTTTTCAGATGGTTTTGCAAAGAATTGTACTTACTTGTTTTCTCCTGATAATATGGATCGTCTGTGTCTGTGAAGAACCACGTCTAAAATTAAAAAAAAATAATTAAAATTTTTGACATTAATATCATACATAAAAATATTAAAATAATTTGTATAAATTCTGTATTATGTTGGGCGGATATTAATTTAAAATAATAGAAAAAAAATATAATTTAGTTCACAGCTGACATTATTATTTCGGTACAAAATAATAAAAAAATAAAATAAACGAAATCGACTAGTTTCTGTTACTGTCACCAATCACTAACACAACCATACATTCACAATTAACCAATAAATAGTAATGGTCCGATCGTCCATTACACTTACATACATTCGAGATATTGTATTGAGTTGTAAAAAAAAACATATATATTTGTGCACCGCATACGTATAAACTGGGTCATTTTAATTGCACACAAGATTGGCAAACTCAAACGGGCGAAAACGTTAATTAATCATAAACGAGTTTAATGGCTTTTCATACATACGATGGTGGTTAAACGACAAAAATCAACAACAACAAAAATGCTGTACAATTGCAAGATTGAGAACAACACAAAGAGTGTTATATCGATAGTTTTCCATGACTGGATAGATAGGAATCTGAATGTAAGGCAGCAACAAAATAAAAGGTGTGTGTGTTGCATTGTGTACAAGTCATGAATCTGACTGGTGAAACTGGAATATGAAACAACTTTTCCTATTTGCAATTTAAGTCCATTGTTTTTTGCTGTTTGTTGTTATATTTTGTTCTGATATTGTTTTCATATTTTTCCAAGGTGAGTTGTGAAGTGCTGCGTATTTAAAAATCCTTAAATTATGTCATTGCATTATGTATCAGTTGGTAGTTCATGCTTTGAAAAAATAATCTCCATATTATAGAAACTCAGATTGAAAACTTGGGGTAGGAACTTCAACATACCGAAAATTAAACGGGACATTTGTATGGATGTTGTTTTGAAAAACTAACCTAGATTGAATTATTTCTCTCTCTCTTAGAATCCTCTTCTCTTTCTCTTAGAATCCTATATGAGAAATTATAGTCACTTTGATGAGAACAAAATAATACTGAAAATATGGCATAGGTCCCGTACTATTTTCAGTATTATAAAAGCTGTATAAATCGTCGGTCTTATATTGAACCAGTAAGGAAAGTTCAAAAGTTGGACGGGGCCGACTATATGATACCCTTCACCACTTTTACAAGCAAGAAATGATAATGTGTACAATATCCTGTTGATAGAAAAGACATACCATCTTTGGATGACAAAAGACATGAAATCGGGTAGAAAACAAATGTGATCTACATAGATATTTGAACCACTAAAAACTGAAATCTATAAAATCTATAATCTGAAATCTATAAAAAAATTCATGTCAATCTGGCAGACTTAAATTTTTGGTGTAACATTTGTATGAAGTTTGGCAAAACTTTGTATGGGAGATATATGTAACTCTGAACCAATTTCAACAAAACTTCACACACATCAAACTGGACTTAATTCAGTATGTTGTGCAAAATTGTGTCTCAATCGGACAAATATTGGAAGTTTGGTGCACCATCTATCTAAAATCGAACGAAAATATATATGAGAGCTATATCTAAATTTGGACCGATGTCCAGCAAAACTTCATACATGTCAAACTGGACTGAATTCAGTGCGCTGTGCAAAATTTTGTTAAATCGGACAATTATTGGGAGTTTGGTGCACCATTTACATAAAGTCGGACGAAACTATATATGGGAGCTATATATAAATCTGGACCGATTTCAACAAAACTGGACGAAATTTCGTACTCTGTGCAACATTTTGTCCCAATCGGGCAACCATTTTCAATTTGGTGCACCATATGGGAGCTATATCTAAATTTGAACCGATTCCAATAAAACTTCGCAACCATTTTCAGTTTGGTGCACCATAACCTATATATTGGAGTTATATCTAAATCTGAACCGATTTCAACAAAACTAATTTAGTACTCTTTTCAAAATTTGGTCTCAATCGGACCAATATTGGCAGTATGGTGCTCTATTTACATAAAATCGGACTAACCTATATATTGGAGTTATATCTAAATCTGAACCGATTTAAAAAAAAATTGGCACATATCAATCTAGACCTAATTCAGTACTCTGTTCAAAATATGGTCTCAATCGGACCAATATTGGCAGTATGGTGCACCATTTATATAAAATCGGACGAAACTATATTTGGAAGCTATATCTAAATCTGAACCGATTTTCTCCAATTTCAATTGGGTTCGTCCTTGGGCCAAATAAGTGACATATGCCAAATTTCATCCAAATCGGATTATAAATGCGACCTGTACTTAGTTCACAAAAATACATGGACGGGCGGACATGGTTAAATCGACTAAGAAAGTGATTCTATGCATATTCTCAAAAGTAACCTTAGGTCTATCTGGATTCCTTTTGCCTGTTACAAACATATGCACAAATACATAATACCCTGTACCATAGTGTGATGAAGGGTATAAAAATTTTCGCAAAAAATATGGTTTGCGATCCAATATCACCGAATGCCACCTTACAGATACTGCAATGACAAAATACCGCTAAATCCTTCAAAATAAATATAATATCGAAACAAACTTTCTGGCAAATCATTTGAAAATTACATTTTTGCAGCATTTGAATGTGATTTCAGGGAACGAAGTTACTAAATCTCCCAACCAAATCATGGAACACTCACAACTTTCGGGAATATTTTTTTTATTTTATTTTTGGTCCATTCCAAACAGACACCACAAATTTGTATCTACGTTGTTGTTTTATTTATTTCAAACAAATGGTCACATTTGTTGTCACCGTCGTCATTGTCATGCATGACTGGAACGTGCTCAGAAAATAGTTTTGGTTATTTTTCGATTTTTTTTTCTAAACTGCAGACTGACGTTTTATATTATCATATTTCATAGAATTGGTTTAAACGAGGGTTACGCCAAAATACTGCAAATATATATCTCAAATTAGAGCCACTTTGAAACTTGTCTGCAAATATATATATCTATAGGGAGATTTTCTTCACAATGAGTATCCAATATATCGATATCATTATATAGAAAATCTCCATATCCAAACCTTCAATCTCGACTCAAAGTTCGATTAAGTCCCCTAATTCCATTGGGGAGGCTATATTCAATTCGGCCCGATGTTTTCCTTTTTTTAAGAATATTGCTATTCCTTTCTTGAAAATATTGAAAGTTAACTAATATTCGAATTCTACAAAACTTATGTACTTAAATGCATTTTTTGTTTCCTATTGTTTTCTTTTATTTTTCTTTTTAAAGAAAACAACAAACGAAGAGAAACTGAAAAAAAACAATCGTCTTCTAAAGAACTCATAAATCCTGAACGTGCCTTTGCATACTTTCATGGCGTTTTGTTTGTTATGCTCTTTTTTATCTTTGCATTTGGATTTTGGAATGACTGGCTGGCTGACTAGCTGGACAGCATTCAGTTCTGTCAGCTAAACTGCTTGGTCTGGATAACTGGCAATCCCATTTAAATTTTAAAAAAATGTTGAGAATAGTTTTTGGTTTTATTTTTGTTTTTTTCTAAAACATTTCATTTTTGTTTTCATTTGACATTTGGGGACCTGAGACATGATTGAAATTTCGAAAAAAAAACACGCACACAAATATGATTTCTTAAAAAAAGCACAATCTGTAAAGGAACATGTAAATATTCGGTTTTTTTGTGTCCGATATGTGACCAGGAATATATTATTGAAATGGAAAACAAACAGTTAACGTGACAAATATTCCGATGTTATGTAGGAACCAAAACAACAAAATTGAGTGTTTAAAAAAAATCCAACTATGCATCTTTTTAAGCCATTAAGTCTTTCAATCTCCACAGATTTGTTGTCATGTTCTGAGCAAAACAACAACAACAATAATTACCCATCAACATCGCTTTACTACTACCTGATCCCCACAACTACAATCTTGGTGGTCGTAAAATAAAGTTTAAAAGGGTTAAACATGGCCAATGGCAATGTCGCCCAACTGCTATTCCAATCATCCAGCATCAGCAGCAGCATAAGAGGAGAATGTGTTTTTGAGAAACTTTTATGATTTTATAATGTGGGAGACCACTTAAGGTAATTAAGAGTAGTGTGCTGTAGCATCATATTATTTATATTTGTATAAATATGTCATTAACACAACAACAACAACAAGTGAAATGGACAAACAAATATGCGTATGCATGTGTGTAGGTATGTTTAACAGGTTGGTATGGTTGAAAGAGTAGCTTCATTATGATTTGTTTATGCATCCCCATGGACCACCTCTAATAGTGATGCGGCTGCTGACTGATTTACCCTAACGGCAATTATGGGCGGAACATATTTGTGGAAAAGGCACGAATTTTTTTATTATTTGTTAATTTGTTATCGCTGGAGGGTCATAAGGTAAGGGACAAAAAAAAAAACGGTAGGAAATTGGGATATTGAATTGATTAGATTTTTTAATTGGCAATTTAAAGGGAGAGAGGGCGTTTTCAAAATCATATCTAAGGTGTGGAGTGAGAGGCTATTTTTTAAATTTCATATTTTTTCAATTTGTCGTTATTATAAAATGTCTTTGTTGAACCGACTTAAATCAAAATGAATACACCGTCTACTGGACTAAATTTCATTGTAGGTGCACAATTTTGTGTCGATGCGGCAATTAGAAATAAGAAAGTTATCACTACATAGGCTCCACATAATAGGCCCAACCCATTTTAGGTATTATCACAGTAAAAATTTTATAATGAAATTTCTATAACAATACTGTGACACAAAATCGAGGTCAATTATATAGGAACAACATAGGCGTAGCTCATATTTTTGAGGTATAGCGTGTTGCATTTTTTGCTGGTATCTCTAAAGTTCACGAATAAAAAGGCCTCCAAATATTCTACAAAAAATCGCTCATAAGATGTGAAATAGGGGCCCATAACTTAAAAACTTGACCAATGATGTCCTTTTGGGCCCTTAATATAACAGACAAGGACTTTCGTCAAAAGTTA